GCACACTGGGCAGGTAGAGAACAACTGCTCCAGAGACCCCAGACACATGCTGCTTTTGGCTCCACAGTTGGGTTCCACTGGGCAAGAACCAGGCTTCGGAGAGACAGCGCAGCAGCAAAGGCTCTGGATGGGTGTGCAAACACCAGGGCACCCAGATGACTGTGCTGCCTACGGTCTGCAAGAGGGGCATCACCGATTCCACTGCCACCACAGTGGCACAGCAGACCCCATGCACCAGCCCCGGGCGCTGCTGACTGCACACTGGTAGCCAAATGCACCAACTCTAATGAGATCTGCCTTCAACACTGAGGTTCTAATTTACACACCGACGTTCGGCTCCTCTGAGTTTCCCGTGCTCCCATTTCACTCAGTATTTTTTCATTTTCTCCTTCATGAAAGGCTGGGTTTGCATGTTTTGGCTTGCAACTTTATAACACATACACATAAGTGTGATCCAAATTAGTACTCACAAATGTCATCTTAATTACTTGTTCTGCTGAGCAAAACAGGAAACAATTATTCAAAACATAAAGAAACTTGTGAATACCTTTTTCTCCTGTCACTGACAATCAGGTTCTTATTTCAGACTTAAAGAGTCAGCACAGAGAGAGGCTTATAAGGTACAAGCCTGAAGGCTGCCCACTCCCCTCCCCTGCAGACTCCCTTCCAAAGTGGCTGGAGGCTGGGGCTGGGGCTGGGACAAGCAGTTGCTGGGCAAGTCACCTCCTTCGCACTCTGCACTGGTGCCACAAGTACCCAACGTCCTGTAACCAGGGGATGGAGAAATTATGTTTGTGTTTCAAATCAGAAGCAAGAACTGCCTTCTTTCAAAATGCACGCCAATTATTGTGAGGCCGCCTTTTAAGGTCTTTCAAGCTTTTAAAGATTATTCAAAGCACTTGAAATGGGCTTCAATCTAATGCCTCATTTCATTGCATTAAACAGCCTAGTTAATAAAGAATCAATATATTCAAAGGGCAAGGTTATCTTTTGTCTATAAGGGGTGGTGTCATTCTGAACCTTTTATAGTTCAAATGCGGAAAAAGACCTCATGAAATCCATACTCATCAAGTGGGTCAACGCGAGCGGTAAAGAGGCCCCTGAAAGGGAAGAAAGGCTGCTCTCCTCTAAAACAACCCATGCTTATCTCACTTGCTCCGAGCGCCCAAAGAAGTCCTCAGAAATGTCAATTTCTCATCAAGACAAGAGGCCACGCTGATCATTTTTTCCAGAGAATACATACAATTAAGAGAATGCAGAGAGGCGGCGGTGGCAGTGATTTGTGGCTTATTCCGGCCCCATGAGCTGCGATCTCCCTCCCAGCAGATAAAAAGGGTTGTTGATAACTGAAGTGTCAATATGCCGAAGAGTGAGTTTTGAATGTGAGTCCTTGTGCTTTGAGCTCACTGGGCCGATCCCAGGCCCTGATAACGGCGCAGCTGCCAACGGACACCACAGGTTGGCCCTCACAATTAATGCCATGAATAAATCACACAAAAGAGTTGGGATGCTTTATACTCGGTGAGACAATCCCCTGTTTTACCCTTCAAGGATTCCTTTTATGTTGGAATAAGGTTGCTTTTAATGAAATTTAAACTCATCAGAGGAAATCAAAAACCTCCAATCAGATTACAAATTGATTTTTTGGTCATTTGTCATGTCCCAGCGTAGAGCCGCAGGTTTCACAGGGAGCGAGTTGCCGTCGTGGCGGGGCTGGGAGTGAGCGTGGATGCAGCTCCCGCTCCCACCCCTGGCTTGGGACAGCCCGTGGTCGGGCTCCTCAGTAAGTAGAGGCAGCCCTGGTGACTCCTCCTGCCCCACTGAGTGCAGCCGACTGAACCTGTGACAAGAACAGGTGCCAATCATGGCGAATTCAGTGGCAGCTTTATAACCTGGGATGTCGTCCTTGGCAAAATTCACAGTGACTTCTAGTTCTGCACTCCCAGATCCACGGGTGGCCACACAGACACGTTCTCTGGGGAGTGCCATCAGTTTTGGTGAGTCTCCACCCCCACCCCCACCCCTCCAGTTGGCTCTACACTACCCCACAGACAGCATGATACAGAAGCATGCGGGTCTCCCAGTCCCCATGTGCCAAGACCCTGAGATCTGGGCAGAGAAAATCTTGGCTAACTCCTAGCCAGCATCCAGTGGAAGCCCCAGTGCTCTCCTCAGCAGAGCCTGCCCTGCCCCCCAGGCCACTCCAGGGTGCTGTCCCCCTGGGGAAGACTCGAAAGCATCGGAGGCCGCCAGCCTCCAGCCTCCAGCCTCCCAGTGGGTCTCCTGAGTGCCCTGGATGAACCTGCACCTTCCTTACCCCTGCAAGGGGCACCTAGTCAAAGCTGAGGGGGAAGCTGAGGTCCCACTGAGTCTCTGGTACTTAGTGGGAATCTAGAAGGGCCTTTTGTCCCTCCTGGAAAGACTGGGGCCGGGACAAAGTGAGGGCAGGCACTACTTCGGGAGGAGGCGAACACTGTTTCTGATTCAAGATTCCTCAGAGACCATCTCTTAAATATAGTCTCCAAAGTGAGTCAAATACTCCACACATCTAACAGCAACACTCACCTTTGCCGCCCCCGGTGATCTGCGGAGCACTTTATCCACACCGTCTCTCTTGTCCTCCCACAAAGTGCTGTGCTGGAGCTGGCTCCCCACTTCCAGGTGGTGAAACTGCAGTTCAGAAAGTTCAGATGATGGTCACTAGGCTGAAAGGACCAGGGCCCGAGGCCAGGTGACGTCTCCAATCTTCAAACCCTACCCTCTCTCCACTGACTTAGGTTTCAGGTATCTTCAGTAAGAAAGACTGGCTGGGCACGGTGGCTCACGCCTGTAATCCCAGCACTTTGGGAGGCCAAGACAGGTGGATCACTTGAGGTCAGGAGTTCAAGACCAGCCTGGCCAACATGGTGAAAGCCCGTCTCTACTAAAATTACAAAAAAATTAGCCGGGTGTGGTGGTGGGCACCTGTGATCCCAGCTACTTGGGAGGCCGAGGCAGGAGAATGGCTTGAACCCGGGAGGTGGAGGTTGCACTGAGCTGAGACTGTGCCATTGCACTCCAGCCTGGGCACCAAGAGTGAGACTCTGTCTCAAAATAAATAAATAAATAAAAAAGAAAAAAAAAAAAAAAGAAAGAGAGAGAAGGAGGAGTATCTAAATGGAAGCGAGGAGAGAAGTCACACTTCCCTGAGAAGATCCTAACCAAGCCACCCACAGGGTTTGGAGAGCCTGACTCAGTCGAGGCCACCTGTACAGGCCACAAGTGGAAACTGGCTTGCCCAGTGCAGCTCAGTTGGGGTCAGAGGGCCTTGCCTCAGAACATAACCAATGTCACACTTCTACGCTCCCAAAACCGGAGGCAAAAGACCATTTCTCCCAGGGACTTTGAAGCTGCCATGAGGCCTCGGAACCGCTGGCTCCCTGTGCTCTCCATGGGTTTCCTGGGGTCCTCATGGGGTCCACATGGGGTCCACACATGGGGCTGGTGAGCCAGTGTGGGAAGGGTACACTGAGCCCATCCCATGGTGCAAGAGTGGGAGGGAGATGCAGGTTAGGACTGAGGCAGCCAGAGGGGCTGGGCTGCAAGGGGTTAGGCCTGCAGCTGGTACCCAGCAAGGGCTCAACAAAAGTCAGCTTCTGTGACTGCCAGCAAGGTAATAATGGGCTAAGGATGGAGTGAAGAAGAGGAAAATAAGAGCAATCATGATTTGGAGGGTAGACTTGCAATGAGTAACAACAATATCAAAAGTGTTGGCTGAAAAAGACACAAAGAGTCAGAAGGGGACACAGGTGTCTCTCACCAGACTGCCCCATCAGACCATCCCCTCTCCCAACACTCCACACTGATGGTGGGCCATGGACAACGATGGTGTTGGTGCAGCTTGCTAAGCCATCACAGGGTTCATTAGCTAAGCTAGATATAAAACTTGTTTTTCCACCTATAAGGGACCAGATCCTTCACTGCCTGTGCTACTATTGTGGGTCTGGCAGAACACAGGGCTGATACAGGGAAGTTGCCATCAGGAGAGAGAGAAAAGATGCCTGTAACCATCTCAACAGAGGGATTATATTCTTAATATACAATGAGCTTTTGCAAATCAATAAGACTCAGTGAAAACCCTAAAGAGAAAAGAGGCAAATTTACACTCCATTCACAAGGGCACAATAAAAGTGGTCAATAAGCTTAGGAAATTATATTCAACCTCATTTAAAAATACATATCAAATTAAAATAATGGGATGAATTTTTTTAACCTATTAAATTAGAAAAGATTTTTCTTGAAAGCTAATACACAATGCTGTTGATGGAGAAAGGGTATTCTTACAGTAGTCAGTAGAAGGGTAAATTGGTACAAGCCTTCTGGAAATCATTCTGACATATCAAGAGACTTAAAAATATTCATATCCTTTTTACTGACTAATTCCACTCCAAGGAATCAATCTGAAAGAAATAATCAGATATTAGACAAGACTTTTAAGTCCAAAATTGTTAGCTATGGCAATATTTATCAAAAAATTAGAAAGAACCCAAATGGCTCAAAATAGGAATTGGTCATTAAATTATGATATAGCCATTATAATGGAATATTATATATTCTATTAAAACATAAAGATTATGTTTTTGAAGTATATCTAATAAAATGCTCAGCATCAAATGACATAAAATTAGGTAAAACAAGCATATAATACTGTTTATATAGAACATAATTCCAATTTGTAATTTTTTTTTTTTTTTTGAGACACAGTCTTGCTCAGTCACCCAGGCTGGAGTGCGGTGGCGCGATCTCGGCTCACTGCAAGCTCCGCCTCCTGGGTTCACGCCGTTCTCCTGCCTCAGCCTCCTGAGTAGCTGGGACTACAGGCGCCTGCCACCACGCCCGGCTAGTTTTTTTGTATTGTTAGTAGAGACGGGGTCTCACCGTGTCAGCCAGGATGGTCTCGATCTCCTGACCTCGTGATCCGCCCATCTTGGCCTCCCAAAGTGCTGGGATTCCAGGCGTGAGCCACCGCGCCCGGCCCCAATTTGTAAATTTCTATGTAGAGAGAAGACAATAAATAATATATAAAAATATACATATATTTAGAAAAAATACTGGTCAGAGTTACAGCAAAATTAACAGTAGGTATATCTGGGAGGTGAAAACTTACACATTACATTCATATTTTCCCAGTTTTCTTCTGAATAGACAGGCAGGGTTATGTGTTGGAGAACACTGCTTACCATATCACTGTCTCACCACTCTGCCCTCCTGCTACAGTGAACAAGGTAGGGGAGACAACTAACTCAGAGCCATCAGATTGGTCTAGAACACTGAGGCCTGATGGGATGGGCATTGGTGCATGGCTACCTGGAATCTGAGCTGGGGCTGACATAGTGCTGAGAGAGCAGACACCAGACTGACAAGTGGGCAGGAAAGAGGACAGGTGCACAGGGGTGTGGAGATCTGGGCTGCGTGGTCCAAAGCGGAGAGATCCTAAGGGAGGAGTTCCCATGAAGCCCCACTGAATTCCTTGCTCTGCCTTTCTCAGCATGTCTCTGGGGACTGATACTATCTTCACTTTTATCTGAACTACCTGGAGGAAGTTTCTGCTGCCTGCAACCAAACAGTTACTGACCAGGCAAATTAGGGAAAAAAAATCTTAAAATTAGCATTATAAGAGAACCAAAAATAACTTACAAGGTATGAGGTTTAGTAAATACATTTAGCAAGATTAATGAATACAAGGTCAATATACAACTGTATTTCTATGACAATAATACTATTTTTATAATAGGAATTTTAAAAATGCCATTTAAAAATTTTCAATGCCATTTACAACAGCATTAAAAACGCCAAATACTTAGAAAGAAAGCTATCAAAGTTATGCAAGATGTCTTCACAGGAAACCACAAAATTGTACTGAGAGAAAATTTTAAAATCTTAATAAATGAAGGAATATACCATATTCATGGATTGGAAAAGTACCTGTTGAGATGATGTCAACTCTTCCTCCCAACACTGACCTACAGATTTAGTACAATCTCAATCAAATTCCACTAGGTGCTTTTCTTAAAATTGATAAGCTCATCCTAAAATTTACTTGGAACTGTAAATGATCCAGAGGAGCCAAGGAAATTCTGACAGAGACAGAGGCTGGAGGATTTGAACCACCCAAACCAAGACATTTTATGAGGCTGTAATAACTAAGACACTTTGGTATTAGAACAAGAACAGACAAATAACCTAACAGCACAGACAGTCCAGAAACAGACCTCCTATTCATGGTCACCTGATTGACGACAGAGGAGGCACTGAAATGCAATGGCAGAGAGCGGCCTTTCCAATAAGTGGTGCTGAGGGTAGTGGAAACACACATGATAAAGACTGGATTACGCCCTTCTCACACATGTGAAAGGATAAACTCAGATGGTTGGGCACCCTAAGATACGATGATTCCCCAGCTCTGAAGAGGAAAGGAACAGTGTGTAGAGACCAAGTGAACAGCTGATGTTAAACCAAGGTTAAGGGAATACCCAAGATCTAGCGATGAGCTGGAGCTATGAGCACCCACTTGCTTGGGCAGGTATGCAGGAGAGAGAATCTTTAAAGGGAAGAACAAAACCCAGCCCAGTTCCCTCCAGCTGACTCCTTGGGCTTGTTCACCTAGGGCTGCATCAATGCCTTGGACAGGATGGAGACCCAGAACTTTGTGGTAGCTCTCACGGGGGAGTTGGTAAGAGTAGGCAACCTCAAAAGGTAGCTGTTCTGAAACACTTTCAAAACGTCCTATGGTTTTCTTGTTAAAATAAATTAAAGATCTAAATCAACTAAAAATTCCCATGTTCATGGATTGGAAGACAATATTTTTAACAACACAAAATTGATCTACAGATTCAACGCAATCCCTACTATAATCACAGTTGGCTTCTTTCTAGAAACGAATAAGCTCATCCTAAAATTCATATGATATTGCACCAGACACGGAATAACCAAAAAACACTCTTGAAAAAGAACAATGTTAAAGGATTCCCATATTTTGATTTCAAAACTTACTACAAAGCAACAGCAATTGACATTGTGGTACTGGCATAGGATAGACATATCAGTGAAATAAAATTGAGAGTCCAGAAGTATAATTATGTGTCTATGGTCAACTGAGTTTTGACAAAACTGCCAAGGTCTTTCAATGGGAAAAGAATAGTCTCCTCGACAAATGGTGCTGGACAACTGGAGAGCCACAAGCAAAAGAACAAAATTATATTTGTACCTCACATCATATAAAAAATTAACTCAAAATGGATCAAGGGTCTAACTGTAAGAGTTAAAACTGTAAAAACTCTTAGAAGAAAACGGGGCTCTTCGTGACCTTGAATTTGACAATGGACGTGACACAAATCTTAGATGTGATACCAGAAGCATAAGCTGCAGAAGAAAAATAGATAAATCAGACTTCACCACAATGAAAAACTTCTATGTTTCGAAAGACACTACTAAGAAAGTGAAAAGACAACCCAAAGAATGAGAGAAACGATTTGCAAACCACTTATCTGATAAGGGACTTGCACCTAGAATTAAGAAGAACTCTTACAAATCAATAATATAAAGACAAATCACTCAATTTAAAAATAGGAAGATGACCTCAATAGACATTTTCTCAAAGAAGTTATACAAATTCCTAATATCCATGTGAAAAGATGCTCAACATCATTAGTCATTAGGTAAATGCAAGTCGAAACTACAATGAGTTACCACTTCACACCCAGTCAGATGGCTGTAATAAGCAGGTCATAATAACCAGTGTTGGTGAGGATATGGAGAAATTAGAACACTCACACATTGTTGATGGGAGTCTGAAATGGTGTCACCACTTTGGAAAACAATCCAACAATTCCTCAAATGGTCAAACATGGAGGTACCATATGACCTAGTATTTCCAATCCCAGGTATAGACCCAAGAGAAACGAAAAACATAAATTCACATAAAAACTTGCACATGAAAGATTATAGCCATAGTATTCACAATAGCTAAAAGGTGGAAAACGCCCAAATGTCCATTATGACTTATTTATTTTTAAAAATTATTTATTTATTTATTTATTTAGACAGTCTCTCACTCTGTTTCCCAGGCTGCAGTGCAGTGGCACAATCAAGGCTCACTGCAGCCCTGACCTCCTAGGCTCAAATGGTCCTCCCACCTCAGCCTCTTCGTACCTGGGACTGCAGGCATGCACCACCATGCCTGGCTGATTTTTGTATTTTATCAAGAGATGGGGTTGCGCTATGTTTCCCAGGCTGGTCTCAAACTCCTGGTCTCAAGTGATCCTCCCTCCTCAGCCTCCTGAAATGCTGGGATTACTGGTGTGAGCCACCATGCCTGGCCATTAATGGATTTTTAAAACATTGTACATCCATACAACAGAATATTATTCAACCATAAGAGGAATGACATGCAGAAACATGCTACCACATGGATGAATCTTAAAAATGTTATGCTGAATGAAAGAAGTCAATAACCAAGAAACTCATATTATATGTTTTCATTTGTGTCATGTCCCGAATAGATAAATCTACATACACAGAAAGTAGAGGAATAGTTGACTTAGGGCTGGCGGACATGGAGTGATAGGGGTATCAGCCAAGGGGTATGTATAGGTTTCTTCCCGAAGTGATAAAAATGTTCTAAAATTGACTGTGGTAGTAGTTGCACCTTTCAGTGAATATGTTAAAAAAAACCATTGAATTGTACACTTTAAGTGAGTGCACTGTATAGTATGTGAATTATTTCTTGAAAAGTCCGCTATAAAAAATTAAAAAGCCCTGTGGTTTTATCAGAGCATAAAAAATGAACATTATTTTTCATGAAGAATTACTCTTAAGTGTTTTGGTGTTCTGGGGAAACCATCTTTCCTGGAGCACATGGCCAAGACTCATGCTACAGGCTGGCACCAGGCTGGCACATGGGATCCCAGGGCCCTCCTGCGTCTTTGTCCTAAGATGGCCAAGACCCCACCACCACCTGCTCCCCAGGAGGGGCTGCTTGGTGTCCACACACCTTGGAGGGGGAAGGTGGTCTTGCGGGCCCCTATTGACCCCTTATCTCCAGGCCACCAAAGTGGAGATCATGGCTCCTAGTTCTTGCCTGGGGTGAGACCAAGGCAGATCCACACTCCCCACAAGGTCTTGGCCCCACATGGCGCCAGGTGGGAGAGCCTGCTCCCTCCCCGGCCTGGACTCTGCCACTGCTCTTTGGAGGCCACTCTTGGTCCTCTGTGGAACACACATACACAGGGCTTCTCCTCCAAGGTCATTTCCAAATGACATGAAGGAAAAGTAAAATCCTTCCAGATGGCTTTTTAAAAAGCAGTTTCATTATTTTCTAAACATTTCAGAAGACTCAGCTCCACTATTTTTAACATAGTTCTTTTCTTACATTTCTTTAAAACTTGTCTCTTTCAGTCGGATTTCAGGAGTCTCAGCAGATGCCACCCCTGCCACCCTGCTCTAAGCCACATCAGTGCATCCCTGGCGGATGGTTGCAGCCTCCTAACTGGTCCCCTCACTCCTGCCCTTGCCCTGCAGCGCTGTCTCTCTGTGCCTTGACACCATAGTCAGAGGGGCCCTTAAAATGAAAGGAATACCACCCTTGTACCCCCTCCACAGACCTTCCAAGGGCCACAAGGACACTGAGGGTCAGCTACTACCCTGCCACACCTCCCCCCTGCCTCTGCTGCTGCAGAAGCTCCTGCTTGACGCCCTGCGCTTGCTGTTCCCTCTCCCTGGAGCTCTCTTCTGCAAAAACACCTGCTGTGCTCCCCAATTCATGTCTCACCCCTGGCCCAGGGAGGCAGCCCTGCCTGCCTGTCTAAAACTAACCCCCACCCCAAACACCACACATATACCTTTCCCTTTCCCTTTCATTTTATTTTTCTCCTTAGCACTTACACCATTTAATGAAGTTTAGGCTTTACTTAATTAACTTCTGCACTGTCTCCCCATGAGAAGGGAAGCCTCCTGAGGAGAGGGGCTGGTCTGCTTGGATTATGCTGCATCCCCAGAACCCCAGCTTGTGCAAACCAAATTTTCAGGGAAACAGTGTTCCTTACTGTGTCTTCAACCAAGGCAAGGGTTCTTAACCTAGGGTCTATAAACTTGAATGAAAAACAAAAATTTAACTTTATTTTCACTAATAGCTATAAAATTCAACATTTCCTTATGAGTATAGGCAAGAAGCCACAGTCATTTTAGCAGTATCAGATGGTTTATGGTTCGTGACTTGGAGATTCTGGTAATAATTAACTCAACTGTTCCTAGATTTTGTTTAATGCATGAATAATGAAGAAGCACATATACAATTATATCTCAAATTTTATTTTTAATGTTTTGCTAACTATTCAATATAATTAATTTTTTCTGTGATTGTATGTATTTTATTTTGTGGACAATGAAAACATTGTTCTGGGGAAGGGGTATGCAGGCTTCACCAGCCTGATTCAGGGGTCCACGCACATAACAGAAGCAGGACCCTGGACCAAGGCATCTGCTTCTGTGCTCGAGGCACACGGCTCAATATCACACTACAGTGGCCCATTAATAAACCAGTTCTTTCATTATCTAGCATGGTTTTGCTCCACAGTGCATAGTTCTTGTGTTAGTTTATAATACACATTCATTAAAGTAATAGAACTACATAAAAAGAGCTCCAGACTTAGGCCTGACAGCCTCTGTGCAGGCCAAGTGGGTCATTCAATGCCAGCTCCATCCTGAGTATTTGTGAAGACCTTGTGGTAGGCCAGGTCCTGAGCCAGAAGAAAGACAGGCATTAAACACGTAATAATCCCCCCACCCTTTTTTTTACTTTCTTGTAATCCAGGCTTATTTCCCAAATAAAAGTCATGAACATGTATTTGAAGATAAAGGTTAATCCTCCTTATCCCAACTCTGCCTAAACCCCTTCAGCTTGCAGGCAGATGCACTATTACCAGTGGGCTGTCAATCTTTCTGGACCTTGTTTGAAGGACATTACAAACAGACAGACATCTACATATAGTTGTAAAACCATGAGATGGATCATACAATAACTTTTATATTATTCTCATCATCCTTCCCCCATTAGCACTTACACCATTTAATGAAGTTCCCTGTCAGTGCATGTGGATCCACCCATCCTTTTTCGTGGCTGTAGAATAATCTGTTGTTACATATGAAACCACATTTATGGAACCAGTCCCCTCTTGAAAATTTCATACTCTTTGCTATTAAAATGTGTTATAGTAACAAATAAGTAGAAAATCAAAAAATTTAAAGCTACCATTAAAAAAGATACCCCCACAGGCGAGGTGCAGTGGCTCATGCCTGTAATCCCAGCACTTTGGGAGACCGAGGCGGGCGGATCACCTGAGGTCAGGAGATTGAGACCATCCTAGCTAACACAGTGAAGCCCTGTCTCTACTAAAAATACAAAAAATTAGCCAGGCATGGTGGTGGGCGCCTGTAGTCCCAGCTACTTGGGAGGCTGAGGCAGGAGAATGGTGTGAACCTGGGAAGCAGAGCTTGCAGTGAGCTGAGATCACACCATTGCACTCCAGCCTGGGCGATAGAGTGAGACTCCATCTCAAAAAAAAAAAAAAAAAAAAAACCCACAATGGCAGCAAAACATCAAATATCCAGAAATAAATGGAATTTATTTATTCAAAATTGGTACAGTGAAAACCACAAAACATAATTGAGAAAAACATTTTAACAATCTAAGTAGTTGGAGAGATATACCATGTCAATGGATTAGAAAACTCATTATTGTAAATACCTAAATTTACCCCAAATTGATCTGCAGATTAAACACAATCTTAATAAAAATGTTAGCAGGTTTAGTTTGATGAGCTGATTCTGAAATTTATAGGGACATGCAAAGGGCTAAGGATAGCAACATAATCTTCAATAAGAATAAAACTGGAAAACTTAGACCATCACCCAGCAAGGCTTATTTTAAAGCTGTCCTAATTAAAACAACATATTATTGGTGCAAAGATAGCCTGAAAGTTTACTAAAATGGGTGACAGCCCAGAAACAGATCCACACATATGACAAAATGAGACTGGGTCAACAAATGGTGCTGAGTCAATCGGCTTTATCTCTTGAAAAAAAAAAAACTAACCCCTGCCTTACACCATATAAAAAAGCAAGTCTAGATGGATTTCTAGCTGCACGTGAAAGATAAAACAACAAAGTTTTTAGAAGAAAACATGGGAGAATATCTTTGTGACCTTGTGATGGGCAAAGATACACTAAACAGAAAACAAAAAACTTTAACCATAAAATAAATGGATAGATTGGAACTACATTAAAATCAAGAAATGCTGTTCTTCAAAATGATACATTAAGAAAATGAAAAGACAAGCCACAGAGTGGGGAAAGACACTTGCAAGATATATATCTCACAAAGAATTCATATCGGAATATAAAGAACCCCTGTATATCTTTAGAAAAAAGCAGACGGTCTCACAGAAAAATGGACACAAACCTGAACAAGAAACATAAAAAAAATCATATATCCAAATAGTAAATTCACATCTTAAAGATGTTAAACTTCATTAACCATCAGGAAAATTAAAATTAAAAGATAAAGTGATACCACTGTATCTCCACCAGAATGACTAATCTGAGAAAGTCAAACAATATCATGTTTTGGCAACGATTTGGGTCCACTGGAAGTCTCACACGTTGCTGGTGGGAATGTAAATTGGTAGAAGCACTTGAGAAAACTCTTTTGTAGCTTCTACCAAAGCTGAACATTATGACTTGGCAATCTCACCACTAGGTATACAACCAATTGAAATGAGTACATATATTCACTAAAGTAAATGCACAACAAAGTTAATGGCAGCAGTATTTTTAAAAGTCAACAACTGGAAACATGGCGAACATGGTCACGGGTAGCAAAATGTCTAAATAAAATTGTGTCATATTCATACGATATGAATATTGTACAAAATAAGGAGAATACATTTGCTATCATTATATGCATTGATATGAAATGAATCTCACAAACATAATGTCAACCAAAAAAAGTCAGACACGAAAGAGAGTACACTATATGATTTCCCTTTATATCAAGTTAAAAATAGGCAAAACTCATCAATGGTGTGAAAAGGCAGAGTTGAACTTACCCAAGTAGGGTGATAGTGGCTAGGAGGAGGTCAGAGGGAGCCTGCTGAACTCCAGATCAGGATTCAGGTAGGTTCACCTTGTGAATTGTATAGGGCTGGATGCCTACGGTTCTTGAATGTCGCAGTACCTAGTTCCTACTTCAATAAAAAGTTTATATTTAAAAAGTGCTATAGAGAACACCCTTGTACTCGTATTGTGCATTAATCAGTGTTTCTTCAGGAAAGAGCCCCTGAAGTGGGGTTTTTGGCTTATTTGTTAAATGTATACTTTAAATTTGGACAGGTGCGGTCAAATGTTCTTATTCGCCAACATGTAAGAAAATCCCTATTTCACCCCACCTTCACCCGTACTAAATACATTCATTCCTTCATTTAAAAGTATTTATTGTCAAAAGGATAAATATGTCTAAGTCTGCTTATATGAGGTATCTAGAGTGGTCAAATTCATAGAGACGGAAAGTAGAATGAGGGCTGCCAGGGGCTGGGGAGGGGAGGATGGAGAGTTATTGTTTAAAGGGGAAGAGTTTCAGTTTGCAAGATGAAATGAGTTCTAGAGATTCATAGAGGTGATGATTACACAATAGTGTAAATGTACTTCCATCTCTCTGACCTGGACACCTAAAATATGATTAAAATTATAAATGGCTGGGCATGGTGCCTCATGCCTATAATCTTAGCACTTTGGGAGACTAAGGCAGGAGGATCACTTGAGCCCAGGAGTTCAAGACCAACCTGAGCAACACAGGGAGACTCTGCCTCTACAGAAAAGACAAGACTTGCTGGGCAAGGCGGTGCATGCCTGTGGGCCCAGCTACTCGGGAGGCTGAGATGGGAGGATCGCTTGAGCCCGGGAGGTTGAGGCAGCAGTGAGCTGTGATTGCAGCGCTTTACTCCAGCCTGGATGACAAAGGAAGACCTTGTCTCAAAAAAGTTGTAAATGTCATATATCTTTTGGCAAAGTTAAATAAATGAAAAATATATTTACTGAGTGCCTCTTAGGTGCCAAGCACTGTTCTGGGTGTTGGGAATTTAGCCAAGAATAAAACAGACAAACATTTACTGTTCTTGTAGGACAAACATTCTAGTGAGAATACTTGCAGTCCAACTTTTTGCTAATCTGATTGGTGATAATAAAATCTTACTGTTTTAATTCACATTTGCTAATTCCTAATACATGTTAGCATATTCTCCCACATGTATGTAGCTTTTATATTTTTTCTGTGAACTGCCTATTGATATCATTTGCCCATTTTTTATTGGGTTGTCTTTTGCTTGTTAATTTGCAAGAGCTCTTTGTATTTGATGGTGTTGGCCTCCTTGTTTATATGTTGCAAATATCTTCTCTCCACCGATGACTTTGCTTTGGGCTTCTCTCCCTGTGCAAAGGCCCCACCCCTCCCCAGCCATCTGTAAGTCAATCTTTTATGGCTTCTAGTTCTTTGTTTAGAATGACATTCTCCATCCTAAGATTAAAACACAAAATTATCTTACACTTTATCTTAGTAATTTGATGATTTTCATAGTTTTAGCCTATAGTTCTTTAATCTCTCTAGGGTTTAATTTTATGTTTTATACAAGGAGAAATTTAATTTTATTTTGTTCCAAATGGGGAACAAAGTATCCCCAAACCATATATTGAGTTGTCAGCTCATCTTTTCTACTGATTTTAAAGATCACATTATTCATTTCTAAATTCTTTTTTATTTTTAAATTCCCTTCTACTGACCTTTTAGAGTATTCCTGCCTAGACTCCATCTATTGTTAATTCTTATACTTTAAAAAAATGTTAATTCCCAGAAGAGCAAACTTCCTCTAAGAATCTTAATAGGTTCTCAGCTATTTCTGTTCATTTACTCGTCCATGTAACTTTTTTTTTTTTTTTTTTTTTTTTTGAGATGAGGCTCTTGCTTTGTTTCACAGACTGGAGTACACTGGCGTGATCATGGCTCAATGAAACTTCGAGAGCCTGGGTTCAAGTGATCCTCCCACCTCAGTCTCCCGAGTAGTTGGGACAATAGGTGTGTGCCACCACCCTGGGCTCATTTTTAATTTTTTTTGTAGAGATGGAGTCTCCCCGTGTTGCCCAGGCTGGGCTCAAACTTCTGGGCTCAAGCAATCCTCCCACCTTGGCCTCCCAAAGTGTTGGAATTACAGGCATGAGCCACTGCACTCAGCCTAATTTCAGAATCAGTTTGATGCTGTACACGGTTTTATAACATGGGGGCTGTTGATGCAATAGAGTTGCTCCATTCAGATACATATTAAGTCTCTTCATTTATTACATAACAATTTAAAAGCAATTGCAGTAGGTGCTTTGCAGGAAACCTATTCAGTGCTTTGAGAACACAGAATTGGGAGGGCCTTCCTTGGTCTCGGCCAGCAGCAGGAATGAGGGGGTTTGAGAAATAGGAAGGCTTTCTTCCAGAAATCCTGTGTTGGTTTATTCTGGAAACTGATTAGAAATTAATGAAGCAAAGTTGGGGTGGGGGACGAGTCTTGCAAACACAGCAAGAACAGCATGTGCTAAGGTCCTGGGGCCACAGAGACGCCAACATGGCCACAAGAGCAAAGTGATGTCAGGAGGCAGCGTGGGGCGTCTCCTCTCGCAGGCCTGCAGCTGGAATTTCCTTCTGTAGTTGATACAGACCTGTCACCCTCCAAGTCCTAATCCTGACCTTAACTGGGAGCAAGGAAGATACAGACTCACAGAGCCAGGGACTGTCTGAGTAATGAGGGTCCTTAGAGGTCACTTAAGTCCACCCATCCTCATGTGGATTGGGGGATTAGCAGAGCCAAGGTCATAGTGACCGTCAGTGTGGAAATTTCACTGAAGGGATCAAAAGCCAAAAGCCGGTTCTTTGAAAAGATCAACAAAATTGATAAATCTCCAGTAAGACTGATCAGGAAAGCTGAAAAGGGAACACCGCTATAGACCTGATGAACATTAAAAGGATAGTAAGAGGACATTGTGAAAATAAACAGGCTAAGAAGTTTGACAACACAGAAAAAAAATGAACGAATTCTTTGTAAAACACAACTTGCCAAAACAGACACATGATGAAATGGAAACTCCCAAGGATCCTGTGTCTGTTAAAAAGCAACAATAATTAAGACAATGTGGTACTGGTAGAGGGCTGGAGAGACAGATCACTGGAACAGAATAAGGAGTCCAGAAAAGGACTCACATATATAAAGTCATCTGATTTTTGACAGGGCACCAGTGGAATTCAATGGAAAAAGAAAATATTTTCTATTTTTATTTATTTACTTTTTTGAGACGGAGTCTCGCTCTGTTGCCCAGGCTGGAGTGCAGTGGCGCAATCTTGGCTCACTACAAGCTCCGCCTCCCAGGTTCACGCCATTCTCCTGCCTCAGCCTCCCGAGTAGCTGGGACTACAGGTGCCCGCCACCTCGCCCGGCTAATTTTTTGTATTTTTAGTAGAGACAGGGTTTCATTGTGTTGGCCAGGATGGTCTTGATCTCCTGACCTCGTGATCCACCCGCCTCGGCCTCCCAAGAGGTGAGATTTTTTCATATCTCACCATATGAAAAAATTACTTTGAGATGTATAATTGGCCCAAACAGAAATGTTAAAACTATACAACTTCTGGAAAAAACCCACAGGAAGCTATCTCTAAAACACACAGGAAACTCTCTCTATAGACTTGGGATAGGCAAAGATTTCTTAAGCAGGACATAAAAAGCGCTAACAATGAAAGAAAAAACTGATAAACTGGACTTCATAAAAACTTAAAAATTCTGCTCATCAAAGGACACCATAAAGAAAATACAAAGACACACTATGGCCGGGTGCAGTGACTCATGCCCATAATTCCAGCACTTTGGGAGCCAAGGCAGACGAATAGCTTGAGGCCAGGAGTTTGAGACCATCCTGGTCAACATGGAGAAAACCCATCTCTACAAAAAATAGCAGGGTGTGATGGTGCATGCCTGTGGTCCCAGCTACTTGGGAGGGTGAGGTGGGAGGATTGCTTGAGCCCAGAGGTCAAGGATGCAGTGAGCCAGACTGCACCACTGCACTCTAGCCTGGGCAACAGTGAGAGACCGTATTAACACAAAAATTTTTTTTTTAAATTAAAACAAAGACACGCCACAGACTAGGATAAAATGTTCACAATGTATACATCAGAAAAGAGCTTGTCAATATGTAGAGAAGACACAGATCACAAGAAAAAACCAAGAACACTGCAGCACCGGGCTGAGGCCCAGCAAGCAGCGTCTCATCACTAACAGGCCCCAGAATAAATCCCAGGGAGCCTCGTTGGGCCCCTCCAGGCACCAGGCACGGAGCTTCCTACCTGGGTGACACTGCTCCTTCCACGTGCTAGATGTTTGCCTTGTTTGCTGGCTGGAGAAGAACTTGCACCCTCAGTGTTCACCTCATAGGGTGATCTTATAGGGTGCTGCTGGTTTTCTTTCCCCCAAAGTAAACACAGCACGTAAACACCTGTGGAAAGAAAAGGGAACCCTTCCTTCAACACAGGAGCAGGGTGGAGAGCACAGTGGGTTTTGGCCCAAACCTAAGCTGCTCGCCCACTCCCTGCTAGCCCTGTGAGCCAGGGGGAGGCCCTGCCAACCAGGGGAGGCAAACACTCCTGTTCTTGCTTGGACCTAAGCCCACTGCTTGCCCTGCTGCCCGCGCTTCTGGGAAAAATGGAGTGAACAATGGTGTCCACATTCTCCCGCAGCCAAGTATATTCCAAATCCCCAAGCTGGGGCCTGTGCAGGCAGCCCTGAGTGCCAGTGGACAAAATGTCCTGGGCCTTCCAGGGCCACTGGGCTCAGGCACACAATGGACACTTTCCCGGCTTTGCCCTCGAGTGGTGGCCTCATTGCCTCTGTCCAGTGCCAGTTTTTGGAAAAGCTGCTCCACCCTGACAAGCGTGGGTCCCACTGGTGCCCCAGGCGAAGCCAAGGCCCAGGCACCAGAATCTACCTTCTAACATCAAAGCGGCTGCTTCTGCGTGGGGCCAAGGCTGACAGGGTGTAGGCAGGGTGGGACTCAGGCTACAGAGTGTGGAGATGGCAGATGCCGGGGCAAGGCCATCACAATGAGTCCTTCCTGGCCAGGTACCAGCCTGGTCCTGTCCAGTGGGGCGGGGACAGCCTGAGGGAGGTGCCTCAAGGAATCCAGTGGCGCTGGTGGCCACACTGACCCAGTCTCTCCAGCCCCTCCTGGCCATGCAGTGGGTGTGGGCAGCAGTGACCAGAGTGCTCAGGGCCTGCAAGTCCACCACCCAGGGATGCCTGGGCTCCAGGCAGGGGTGCAGTAGAACCCCTACAAGGCTGGACCTTTCTAGGCTGTGCCTGGTGCACAGAGGCCTCTCGGGGACACAGGAGGATTCCAGCCCCAGGGGGCTCACAAGCTGCCAGGGAAGAGGCCGTCTCCTGCATGGCTGGGTCCTGTCCCGGCTGGCCCAGCAGGCGGGTGGGGATGCTGGCTGTGGTGGCCTTGGGGAGGCAGTGGCAGTGGCAGGCACAGGACCCCACAGGGTGGCAGTGCCTGTGGGAAAGGCTCATCCTGACCACTCAGCGTCAGGGAGTGGGCAGGAGCAGGGCTCTGAGCATAACAGAGGGGCTGCCCACCAAAGAGGGGAGGGGGTGCTGGCTTCCTGGGAGATGCAGGGTGGACGTAACCATCATTCAACACAGGGTGAGCCGGCAGCAACGCTCAGGCCTCTCCCATCAATGTGGGTGAGGCGGGAAGCTTCAAAGATGCGTCGGTCAGCCCTGCCTCCAGGGACCCCTCCATGTGGCAGGAAGATGTCTGGGGGTGCAGCGAGCCATGCTTTAGAGGGCTGCCCAGGGCCTCGGAAAGGAGAAAGACCTGCCAGAACCGCCCTCTGCCCTGGGTCTCTCGGGCAACCAGGCCGTTCAGTCCCTGCAGCCCCTCCTGCCTGGCTCCTCCAAGTGACTGGCTCCAGGTCCGTCCCTTCTGAAGAGCCAGGACAGCTGCCTCATGGACCGCAGAGGACTCAGGACCGGGTCAGAGTCCAGTCGCCCTCAGAAGAGCAGAGAGACCTTAGGAAATGCCGACTCGGAGACTTCTCATCTAAGATGAGGACATCACCGCCTGCCCCTGGAGGGCTGCTGCCAAGAGCAAGGAGAGCCTTGTAAACTGTAAAGTGCCGTGCTCGTGGGAGGTGCTGGAGGGCCCTGAGCTACCTCTCTGGGCCCCCTGGGTGGCTTTAGACGATCTCCTACAGAAGCCTGATCCATGTGGGGAAACTAAGAGACATAGAAGCAAAGAAATTGAATGAAGCGTTTGTGTGAGTTTCAGAGGAATTTCGATTCCAAAGGCAGTTTTTATGGGCAGCTAAAGTGTCTCCTTGACAAAAATAAGTTTCTAACGAGGAAGTTATGGAGCAACTGATGAAGCCCAGGTACTGTAAATCATTAGCAATGGCCGGCCTCCCGCCAGGGTCGCTGGAGGAGCTCAAAGATGAGGAGACAGAGATAAGGAATAAAAATAGAAAATAGAGCTCAAAAAACACAAATAGTTCTCAAAAACACTGGAAAGCTGCTGATAAGATTTTTCTTCTTTATAAAAGCTCAGGGATAGTCCGAGCATTAGAGGCCACTGAATGGTACCTTTAGGAATAGCGGAGATGGGAGGGAAACCTGGTTAATGAGAGACTGAGGCACCCCTGCTGTGGCTCCAGGGCTGGCAGGTTGAGGAGGAGGCAGATCACAGAGATAAAAGGGGAGGCATGAACCCTAGGAGGAATGCTGATTTCGTTGTTTAAGGCTGAGAAATAAGAAAGTAGCAGCAAAAGGCCAGCCCCTAATCAGAACTCTTTGTCTGGCAGAAGTTCATGCATTTAGACTCATCAGGGTGGGGACGGGAGCTAGGCTGTCGGGAGGGCCATGGTGGGAAGAAGAGGCTTTGACGATAAATACGAACTATCACTCTGACATCCAGACCTGTGGCTGCTACTTCCCCAGCCTTTGCCAGAAGAGGCTGTCTTAGGCTGTTAGGGCTCCTATCACAAAATCCCATGGACTGAGTAGCTTGGAAACAACAGAATTGTATTTCTCACAGTTCCTAAGGTCGGGAAGTTCAAGATCAAGGCACCAGCAGATCTGCTGTCTGCCCTCTGCCTAGTTCACAGATGGTACCTTCCTGCTGTGCCCTCCCAGGGTGGCAGGGCCAAGGCAGCTCTCTGAGGCCTTTCATAATAAGGGCACCCATCTCCTTCATGAGGGCTCCACCCTCACGACCTAACCACCTCCTAAAAGGGCCCACCTCTTAACAACATCACTTTAGGGGTTAGGGTTTCAACATATGAACTTGGGGCTGGTGTGGGGGACATAGACATTCAGACCATAGCAGAGGTTTTTGGGGTCTGCTTTAAAGAACAGAGAAGGCTCAGCTGAAAACAAACCATTGATTTGCACAATGTGGATATGCTACGCTGTCCAAAAGTAATTTGCCTTCTCTGTAGATTGAGGTAAACTTCAGAAATAGCCCATTGGGTCTGGAAGGGCACTGGGCTAGACCATTAGGTTTTGTACCAGGCTCTGAAGCTCCCTTTGGAACTGGCCCCTTGCTACCCTGGCAACCCAGTGGCTTCAAATAACAGTTGGGGATTCAATGAGGCGTCTTTGGTTTGAGCAGGAGGCCTGCAGAGTGTGGGCAGCAGCGAATGGTCACTGGGAGAAGGCTTTTGCTATAACAATTTCACACAGTCCAAGACCCTGGTTTGTTGCTTTCTTTTAGCCAAACAAACTTTAATCACTTGCCTGCAAACATAGGAGCTTCCACGCTGCGCTCAGAAATGACCTTGGTGTGATGGTTTCTTCCGAGACCTGCAGAACACACAGCAAGACGAAACCAGTGGGAAAACGAATCTGCATTAAATGAGAAGCACCTTGCACCATTTTAACACATAGCTCTGTTTTGCAAACAATCTTGGTTTTTCACCATAATTCAATTGACAGTTGAAGTAACTAGAAACAGTTTTCGGGGGAAGGGCTTTTCAACATGAAACTGAAGAAATCAGTCAACAGGTCTCCTTCCCATGGATGCTACTGGCAGGTAACCAAAGTTGACTGGTTAGATAATAGATAATGAAACTTGTAGCCACAGAGGACTAGAAAAATTAATTGCGTTTCATGGAATTGTACCACAAGTTGCCAAACTGAAGACACACTTTATGGTTCGGGTTTCTTTCCGCATTTAGTCAGTGAAGTGGTGTCACCCTTCTCAAACAGGGAGCCCGGGAAATGGCCACAGGTTCTCTTTGTGATGTTGGCCGTCTTCCTCCACCAGCGCTAAGTGGTCTGTGCATCGGGAGGGAGAAGTGGCTCCTTTTTAACCCTATGGATTTACCCAGATCATTCTCTTCATTCTCCTAAGACCCAAGCCTTAATTATCTCGGTGCCTGGGGGACTCGGTATAGAGCCGTAAACATCACACCACAGAGTTTGGCTTTAGGAAAACCAGTTTCTTCCTATGAAGGCATCACTTCTTGGGACAGACAACGGCGGCACTTCCAGCTCTGCCCCACACTGTCTTGGGGACAAAGGAGGAGGAGCACCAGTGGGGAACTCTCCAGCCTTGGCAGGGGTGTGCACCCATCACCCAGTGTGGAGCAGCCTCGATGGGGCAGGGAGCACCGCCCAAAGTGGAGGATCTCCCTTGCAGAGAGTGAGGGGATGATGGGCTTTGCATCATTTTGGGTTTACTCTGCCCAGAAAGCTCTAGGGGCACTCGAGGGCTCACACTTAGGCAGAAGTCGATCCTGTGTTTGCTGTGATGGAGAGGAGATCCTCACCATTGCTTTTTCTCCTAGAACTTTTCTAATCAGAATGGATCTCGCTGTCAGGAGGCCAGAGGCCATCAGAAGTGAGCTATGGGCAAGGCGATTTCCTGGACATGCAGACAGGGGAGCTTGGTGCTCTCAGACTTTTTTTTTTTTTTCGGTCTAACAAGAATCAATATTTAAGATTATGCAATGTCCGTACCAGCCTGAAGTAGCTGCCAACCCGAGGACAAGGGTTAGATAATTTACAATGCAAGGAATCCATTCTTTTGAGAGGGGGAAGGGAAAAAAAATCAAGATTTAAGCTTCTTATCCTGGGCTGAACTTTTCTCCTCCATTCTTAATGGCACTGGGCGTAAATAAACCATCCATTCTGTTTTGTATGAATGGTCTGTACTTTGCACAGATTCTGTGGAATCGACAGGCCAGCTGTAGATCCTTGACCACAGGTTTGAGCTATGACTGCCTTGGAAACAGCACTTATTTACATTTTTTTCAACATACAGTACTGTCATTTAGCCTGATCAAAATCTACCCTGATCTTCTTTTACCCCAGCAATCAGCAGAGAGAACCTTTTTATTGTCGGCAACTAATGGTTCTTCTGTCCCATATTTTTAATGTGAAAATTAAATATTTATAAATGCCTCATCAATAGCATCCCATAACCAGGTCCTCCGAAGCCGCAGACCGGGGCCCGTGCTCATTCACACGAAGTCAGAGGTCACAGGTCAAGTGAGCAGCTCGCAGCGGCTGTGGGGTGCATCTGCTGTCACCAGGATCTGGACAATTATTTATGGGGCAGGGCTTATTTGTGAAAAAGCCCACATCATGGCCAGGAGAAGTTTCCTTTGTCTCCATAAAGCGCCTTCGGGTGAGGTGTTTACTGGAATCACAGGCTCCTGCTCCCTGCCGGTGACCTTCCTAACACTGTCCATTTTGAGGTGCCTCCAGGAGGAAGCTCTCCGCTTTCCCAACCCTCAGAAGAACTTTGGTGCGACACTTTCCAGGCCCTAGGGGACAGGGGCCATGGGGATGGGGAGAAGGGACTGGGATGTCTAGGGTGCCTGTTCCCCCCACTGAGGATGGGGCTTGGTTGGAAGCCAGTGGTGGATTTTAAACAGAAAGCATGCACCCTCTGTGCTCCTGGAGACCCGTGGGGGCATCGGCCTCAGGGGGTGGTACTGCAGATGGCCAGTGCCGGGAGGAGGGGGCAGGGTCCAGAAGGGAGACCCCGGCATGGACCAGGGCAGTGGCAGAGCAGAGTGAGAGGAGGCTCCGGTGGGGGTTGAGGGTTTAGTTGACAGATGGAGGCAGTAGAAAGGGGTTTAGCCACCCCAGGAGAGATGGAGGAGAAGCCCAGGCCAGCTGCTGGAGCACGGCAGCTCTTCCACGCGCACTGTTCCACACACCTTCGAAGGGCAGCACCGCTACCCAGGTGAGCGAGCCTTCTTAGCCCGGAAACAGGCAGTCCCATGAGGGAGCCCTGGGAAGCAACCTCTCAGGGCCTGGCTTGGGGAAGTGGTGAGCCGGGAGCCACCTGGCAATTTTGGGCAAGCCACACGCTCGCTCGGGGGCTGGGTATCCCCTCCCGAAAGATGCAGGCAGTGAGCCTTGCCTATTTTCCTTAGAGGGCTCTTCGCAATATGAAGTGGGATGGTGGGGTCTCCGGGGCTGGAGGACGAAGGGGGTCGACGATCGATAAGGTCTGGGTGCGCCCCACTGCTGGACACGAAGGGCTCTGGGGAAAGAGCGCCGGGGGGGTCTGTGCACCAAACATAACCAAACCCTATTGAAAACATGGGGGGAGCTTTCTGAAGACTTGAAGGAAAGAGAGCAAGGACAGAAATCTCCTGTCTCACCCTCCCACCCTGAATGCCCTCCCATGCTGGGGCAAAGGGCAGAAGGAAACGGAAGCCCGTCTGCTTTCCCGGCCGTGCTGCCCACGAACTGGAGCTGCTGGCAGGCTGCACATCTCCCTGACTGTGGCCCCATCCAACCCCTGACTCCAGAAAATAGAGCCAGGGTGACACAGGAGGCGACCCAGCCAGGAGGAGTGAGCCCCGCCTGGCTCAGTCCCTGCTGCTCTGTGGGGCCCAGAGGCCCCTGTTCCTCTACAGCGGGGAGGCTGCCATCTGCTCTGCCCATCTCTTGGGATTACTGTGAGTTTCCATAAAATGAACAACGTCCGCACAGGCACGAGCTTCGGAAACCGTCAAGTGCTGTCCACGTATAACGACTACTCTGGTTTTCACGCATGAATTCATGGATGCTTCTTCAAGCTCCTGGGGTCAGGGGGACCACCCTCCTTCCTCAAAACAAGTCAGAAAATACCCAGAGTAAGACCGGCACAAACATCTCATACCCAAAACCAGCTCTGCAATTGCAGGGCATGCTCATGATCCCTCCCCTCCCCCTGCTTCTCCCCACCCCCCATCCCCTTACCCCACCGGACTGCAAACTCCTAGAAGGCAGGGCTGGTTGCTGGGGCCTCCTGCTTGGGAACCCCATCAGAGAGGGGAGGAAATGAATATGCAACCCTGGACTGTAAATCTCAATGTCTGGAAGGCACTCTTCCAAGACAGGAAAGCGAGACGGCTAAAGCACCCTGGTTAATAGTGATGCATTGATAAAGTGATATTGATCATTATTGAGACTGGTCGGCCATCCACAGGGAAACACAAAACCAGCAGGGCAGCCTGGGCGAGCATGCACCTCTGTGGGCCAACCCGAGGGACGGCCGGCCCTCGTAACTCCGCGATGATGATGAACACGTATTGATTTCTTTAGTGCCTCTCCTCAGCCCCAGAGCACTTCATGCACTTATTGGAAAGTGCCTGAAACCAAATTGAAGACAGGCCCAACGAGGAGTATCAATCCAAACGTTACAACAGGTCTTCAGCTGCCCCGGTTCCAAACACTTAAGGAAGCGCTGTGCCCCACTCTGTTCAATAGCTGCCTCCGCCTTGCCAGGAAAACAAAAAAGAGGAGGTTAGTGTCTACACACGGCTTCCAGGGAAGGAGCTCGAGCAGTCCGCAGATCCGCGGACATCCCTGCACGCTGTGCTCCTCACTCAGTGCACACACTGTGGGCTGCTTCCCCTCTCCTGTCTTGAGTCCTGGGGCAGCTCTGCAGCCACCCGCCCAGGCCAAGGCTCTGAGTCCCCTGTGGAGGGGCTGCCCTGTGGCATGGCCACCTGAAACTCCACAGGCCTCGGGGACCCATGGGGTAGCTTGCCAGGGACCAATGCAGGATGTCTGGGCTCCAGAAAACATAACCATTTAGTAAAACTAAAACCATTGAGTCTTATTTGGGAAGAATTTCAAGCTTATAGGAACACTGCAAGAAAAACAATAGTATTGTGAACACGCATCGACCCTGCACCCAGATTGTTACTGATACCGTTAATGGTGTCATCATGGACTTCTCCACCTACATCTGTGTATTTTCTGAGCCACTGTGGGGGGAGATGAACACATTGTGGCTTTTCATCCCCATACACTTTCTGAGAGAAAAGCATTAGGGACGCAGCCTCAGTGCGGTCACCAGCTCCGGACGTGTAATGCGGACAGCACTCTTATCACTCACGGTCCTATTTTGTCAATTAACCTAGTAATCTCCTTTCTAACATTTTTTTTTCTTCTAGTCCAGGATTCAGTCCATTGCAGTTAATTGCCGTGCCTCTTTAGTCTTCTTTTATCTGGAACATCCTCACAACATTTTGTCTTGTCTGATATCGACATTTTTGAAGAAATAGCCAAGCTTTTGTTGCAGCTTGGACACTGTAGGGCTGGGCTGCAGGAACCTGCCTCTGCCTCCCATGGACACAGGGACCAGCCCCAGCCCCAGCCCTCCAGCCACAGCCACGCCATGTCTCTAACCAGTGGGCTGTAGGGGTAAGCCTGTGGCTGCATGTTTGCAGGTGCCCCACAGTGGGCCTGGTGGACAGAGGCTGCATGTTTCTCTGGAGTGGGCTCTTTCTGGCCATGACTGTGGCTCACACACTCGTGATGTAGGCAGCCCCTGCTCTGGGCGAGTAGGGTCTGTGGGGCCCAGCAACCACTAAAGCTCACAACAGAGCTCACCCACAGCTGGGAGGACCAACTCCTGGCTCAGCAGTGCCGCCAGAATCTCTGAGTGGGTGCAAGGGTGCTGGGCACTGGGTCAACCTGGCGAAGACGGACGTTCCGAGTGAGGTTAAAGGCGATTTGAATAAAGAGGAGCTGAGGGGATGAAAGAACCATCAGAAAACCCCTGTGTGTCTCATTCCGCTTTGGAGTGGGGTCCCCTGCTGAGCCCTGGGTGCTGCATGGGCCAGGCAGGCTCCAGGGAAGCCCAGGCAAATGCTGCCTCTTCGCCTCTCTCTCACCTTTGGAAACACCCAGAGCCCTGTGCTGGCAAGGTGCCCACCTCCTGAGGAGAGCAAGACCAGAAACCCCTGGGAACACACTGAGCCAGTGGGTACTACAGGAGCGCCAGGCTGGGGTGTGGGCCACCCTAGAGACAGACACAGAGCCTGGAGATGGCAGCCTCCCCCACTGGTTCCATGAGCCCAGGTCATCTGTGGGCTGCATTGCAGCCAGGCAGATGGCCTTGAGGCCTCGGGGCCCTGGGACACTCCAAATGGCCTCCCTCCTCAGGCTCTGCAGCCCACTCTAGGACAGATCCTTTGAAAGACTGCTATGATTAGGTTCTCAAGAGTTCCCTTAAGAAGAGGGAAGGGAGAAAGCAGGGAGGAGAAAGGGAGGCAGGTGCTTGGAAATGGGAGAGAGGGAGGTCAGTGGTGGGAGCAGGACAGTGGAGGCAGTGGCTGTGGGACACCCTTGTGAGATGCCTGCTGAACCCCAGGAACCCTGGTCCAGGGAAGCTGCTCTGTGCAAGACAAGCACATGCCTTGCTCCTCAAAATGACCCCACCCTGTGGTGACACCATGGCACAAAATCCCAGGGAAAAGGCTTTGGCAGTTCCCTTGGAGAATTATATATTAGAATTTTACACCACTCCAAGCCTTGTACAGGTGAGAGAGCATCTTTTAGAAGAGATGTCCCTTGTTGGAACACTCTGTGTCATGGAACCAGAGAAGGTGAAGCTGTGGCTACAAAGAATAGGGACACCCAGGTTCAACCAGGACCTAGAAAGAGCCATAAAATTAATCAACACCTGGTGTGGTAGATGGCTTCTCGTTTATCTCGAAAAGTCTTCTCACACTCCCTGTGCAGGTGACTTTGCTGTAACTGTCATGGGGACTGCATCCCCTTCCCTTGGAGATGTCTGCCCTTTGGCTTGCTTTGACCAATGGTAGGTACTGGCAGAAGTGATGCTGAGTGAGCTCGGGGGTCCAGCTCCAGCCAACACACCTCTGTCTCCACCCTCTTGATGCACAGCCCTAAGGCCAGAACATGAGGAAGACTCCTGGGGGATGGAAACCAACCATACAGGAGGGAACTGGGGGGTCCCCATCGACAGCAAGCAGCACCTGGTCAGGTGAGCCAGGCCATCCCAGACCTTCCCACACAGCAAACCCTCCAGCTGAAGGCACCACGTGAGTAAGGAACTGCCCAGCCAACCACAGAACTGGATGAAATAGCAAGGTTGAAGCACCGTGATGGTCTGTTATGTAGTGACACATCACTGAAATGGAAATTGGGTGCTGCTCTAAGACGAACCTGAACTTTGGCCTGGTTTTCGAAGTGGGCATCAGGTAGAGGCTGGAAAGGTGCTGAGGAGGTGCTGGGAGAGCCGTGACGAGGGGACGGTGGGAGGCTGGAGAAGAGCAACCCGAATGAAGCAGGAACAGAGCCACCAGCGGGGCCATTGCCAGTGGTAACCTGGAAAATAGAAAATGTACCCAAATAATTTGTAAATATGGATGAAAACATTTCTAGGTAGAGTGTTTAAAGTGCCAATTAGGAAAAGATACAGGAAATCCAAACCAAAACGAACCAAAAAATCCATTTACTTAGCAAGCAGAATTTAGAGGCAACAGAAAAGCGTAGGACTGGAAAAATAAAAGTATTTCTCATTTTCTGTTTCAACAGTTAGCACAATATCCCTAATGGAAGAAATGGCCTCAGAGAAAGGACTGATTTGAGGGTCTGCTCATTGGATCTTTTGTTGAGGCCTCAGAAAGACTGAAGGGACCCTCTCAACAAGGGGAGAGGGGCTTCCTAAGAACCCATGGAGTACTGTCTCATAGAAGCCTGACATATCCAAAGTGAAGAGGGGTCTGTATTGAAAAGAATTATGGTTGTTTCTTCTTTTATTCTTGGGGGGGTGGATGCATAGACAAGCCTCAAGCTCCAATAAGATTCATAGGAGACTCAAAAAATTTTTGTGAGAAATGTATTAATAAGAGCACCACCAGCTTTCGCTAAAACGGGCTGATATCATTCAAAATTGAAAGACACTTCTGGGCCTCCAGCTTCCTATGGGCTGGAAACAGGAAAAGATGCTCATCTTCAAACATGGGCCATTTCTGATGGAAAAGAAAAGATCCTTGGAGAATAGAACAAGAGAACAATGGAGAGAAAAAAGGACAAGGAAACTGCTCCTTAGAGCAGAACTGTGCCTTAATCAAGGAATATCTTCTTTCTCTAGAGTAGGGGGATCTGACTACCTGGGCCCTTCTGAAGCTTAGGATTGGTAAGAACCAGTGACCTCCACTGTGCCTCATGTTCCTCCCCTTTCAGATGGGGGTGACTGTTGTCATCCTGGCCCTGTTGTAGGGTAACATGGCTTTTTAGTTCACAGATTTCTGGATCAAGAAGAATCACACCAGAAGAGCCATGTGTACATGTCCAGATGTACCTGATGTTGATCATGGCACTATGGACTTTGAGTCAAATCCCCTAATGGGGATAAGACTTTTAGCCATACTGGAATGGGATAAAGAATACAGTGTCTGTGGGAAGAAAATAAGTAATTTGTGGTCAGATTGTGGAACGTGATAAATTGTTTCATGGCCCCAGATTCTTCCTTTGAAAAAGGCATGACCCTTTGCAATGAAACTCTGCCACATCTCCCATACATTTCTCAACTCTATTACATGAGGGCTGGCCTTGTGACTTTGCCTTGGTAAGTAACAGAATGTGGCAGAAGTGATGCTGTGTGTGTTCAGAGCCTGGGCCTCAGCTGGCCTTGGGACTCCTGCCTTTGCCCTTTTGGATTATTTCTTGAGACCGCCATGTAAGAAAGAACATCTAACCCACAGGAGGATGACAGGCTACAAGAGGCAGTGAAAAGGGCTAAACCTGTGAGTAGGACCAACCTGGATGGTCCAGCCCTACCTATGGACCCTCCTGCAGAGTGGGGCCCACCCTTGTGGGTGAACCCAGATGGAACCAGTAGAAGAGATGCTCAGTTCATCTACGGAAATGTGAGAAATAACAAATTATTGTTGTCTGAAGTGATTACATTTTGGGGTAGTTGGTTACGTAGTAATAGAAAACCATAATATCTACCCAGCACTTTGGGAGGCTGAGGCAGGCGGATCACCTGAGGTCAGGAGTTCAAGACCAGCCTGGCCAATATGGTGAAACCCTGTCTCTACTAAAAATACAAGAATTAGCTGGGTGTGGTGGCGCGTGCCTGTAATCCCAGCTATTTGGGAGACGGTGGCAGGAGAATAACTTGAACCTGGTAGGTGGGAGCTGCAGCCTGGGTGACAGACCAAAACACCATCTCAAAAAAAGAAAAAAAAAAAAAAGTATAACATCTAGCATGACTGATCCAGACCCAAACAAACAAATAAAAAGAAAGGAAACATGAAATACCAATATCAGAATTTTTTTTTTTTAAAAGGAGACATTTACATCATGATATTAGGGGTGAGTAAACAGATATTGTGAATCTCATTATGCCACAAATTCAGTAACATAGAGGAAATGGATAAATTCCTGGAAATACAAAACTTTATAATAGACACAGTATAAATAGAAAATGTAAACAGCTCCATATCTGTTGTTTAAATTGCATCTGTGATTAAAGATCTCCCCAAAAGAAAACTCCAGGCTCCAAAGACTTCCCTGGTAAATTCTGCCAAATATTTGAGAAATAAGTAAGACCAATTTTACACAGATCCTTTCAGAAAAGAGAGGAAGAGGTGACAATTCCCAACATATTTTATGAGTCCAGCATAAACCCAACATCAAACCTGGAGAATAATGAAAGAGCAAAAAAAATTATAGGCCAATATCATTCGTGAACAGAAACAAAAATCCTTCACAAATCAAATCCGTAATGTGTAAGAAATATAATACAATCATGATCAAATGCATTTACTCCAGGAACTCAAGATTGTTTTAACATTTGAAAGTCAATTGTAAGTCACATTAGCAGAGTACAAAGAAAAATTATACAATCATCTCAAGAGACAAAGGAAAAGCATTCAACTCATTCATGGTGAAATTCAACTCACTCGTTTTGAAAACTCATTCATTTTGAAAACTCTCAGTAAATGAAGACTGGTAGAGAACTTCCTCAATGAACTAAAGGGCATCTATGAAAAACCTACAGCTAACATCATGCTTAATGGCAAGAGCCTGGATGATTTTCCCATAAGATGGGGAACATGGCAAGAATGTCCATTCTTTCCACTTCTACTCAACATTGACTGGAGATGGTAACCAGCGAAATAAGGCAAGAAAAAAAAAAAAAAAGACACAAAGATGGGAGAGGAAAAAGTAAAACTATTATTTTTTCACAAATGACATGATCAGATATGATAAAAATCCTAAGTAATCTAAAACTATTAGGACTAGTTAGTAATTTTTTTAAGTTTGTGAGCTTCATGGGCATAATTAAAAATTAATTGAGTCAATTGTGAAAGAACAGGAAAATCTGGGAAATGATCATGGATTGGAGGAGACTATGATGGCTAAATGCCATATGGTATCTTGGAATGGATCCTGGAACAGAAAACCAACGTTTGTGGAGAAACTGGTGCACTCCTAATAAAGTCTATAGTTCAGTTACCAGTGCTGAATTGTTTTAAGTTCTTAGTTTTCACGATTCCACTATGGTTACGTAAGAGGCTGATGTTATGGGGGTCAAGCTGGGTCAAGGTGTATGGGAACCCGCTATACTATCTTTGCAATTCCTTTTTTACATCTAAAATAATGTCAGAATAAAAAGTTTAAAAACACAAAAGACAGGGGAGGCTTCTTGACTATGACAGAAGCAGGGTGATTCTGGAGGCAGCTGTGTGGTAACCGCCCTACCTCCAGGCCAGCTCTGCTGTCCACATCTGGAAGCTGTTCCTGAGAGCTCAGCCTTTTAAACTTCCTTCCAAACATCCTGAAGCTACTTAATACCCTATAATCAATCCCTTGCTTCTTAAAAAAGTCTCTACTAAGAAAATGAAAAGCCATGGATTAGGAGAAAATATTCCTAACATGTAGAACTGACAGGGGACTTGTTTCTTGAATATACAGAACTCCTACAACTCAATAAGGAGGTCACAGTATAAAAATGAGCAAGGTGGGGGCCGGGCACAGTGGCACACACTTATAATCCCGGCACTTTGGGAGGCTGAGGTGGGTGGATTGCTTGAGCTCAGGAGTTCCAGACCAGCCTGGACAACATGAAAACCCTGTCTCTATGAAAAAAAGAAAGAAAGAAAGAAAGAAAGAAAGAGAAAGAGAGGGAGGAAGGGAGGGAGGGAGGAAGGGAGGGAGGGAGGGAGGGAGGAAGGGAGGGAGGGAGGGAGGGAGGAAGGAAGGAAAAATGAGCAAGGGAGCAAACAACCATGTCACCAAGATGTGCGAAAACCAGGAAGTGCTCCACGCCATCAGTCATCCAGGAAACGCACAATAAAACCACCGCGAGACTGCCCTTCACACCCATCAGGGCTGAAATAAAAAGGAATGGCAACCCTGAATGCCATTAAGGATGATGGGCAACATACCTGGCTGGTGGGTGTGTAAAATGGTGCAGCTGCTTTGGAAACCCAATAGTGTCTCTAAAGGTGGATGTACAGCTGCCCTAGAGAGCTGCTGGCTCCCATGTATGCACCTGGGAGACAAAATGCCTGTCCACAAAGGGGCCTGAGAAAGAATGTCTACAGCAACTTGATTTATAAAAGCCAAGAACCGGAAACTACTCCACGTCCATCAACAAAAGAATGAATGAAGACACTGTGGCATGCTCTCAAAATGGAATATTAATCAGCCATCGAAAGAGTATGGACTTTTGAAACAGACAAGGCTGAATCTCAAAGCATTCTGTTGGACGAGGGAACCTGACTCAGGACAGCATACAGTGGGGTTCCAGTTACCTGCAGTTCAAACATGGCACCACCTGTCTCCAGCACTTTTTTATCTTCCTGATCTGAAATGCAGTCCTCATTACACCCTAGCTTCCTGCTTCCTTCTCCAGCAGCCCCTGGCAACCACTGTTCTACTCTGTGTCTCCATGAATCTGACAATCCTGTGTGTCTCACGTAAGGACAACCACACATTCTGTGTTCTTTTCTGTCTGGCTGACACCACTGAGCCTAGCGTCTTCAAGGTTCATCCGTGTTATAGCATGTGTGTGTACATTTCCTTCGTCTGTAAGGGTGAATATCCCATTGTGTGGATGTGCCACACTGTTTATCTATTCATCTATCCAAGGACATTTCGTGTTGTCTCCTCCTCTTAGCTGTAGTGAATGATGCTGCAATGAACATGGGTGTGCAAATACCTGTTTGAGAAAAGGTCTGTACCTTGACTGGGGTGTTGGTTACACAGGGGTATATACCTTCAAACTCATGAAATGCTACACAGAAAACCTGCATGTCCTGTGAACACCCCCATTTCTCTCATGCCCACCAGGGCAGGCTTCGGGGTCA